TAAGACTCTTCGTGATTAGGGTGTCGCCGCGCCGTGCTTTGAGCAGACTCAGTTGCAATTCAAGCTCCTGAAGTTGGTCATATAACCGTAGCGCGAGCTGTTCGGCTTCAGAAAAGGCGAACGCGTCGCTATAGTCGGTTGGGAGAAGATGGGTGGCATCGTTTGGATCCTGCACCCTGACATCATCGGTGTTCGCCATTTCAACGTCACCCATGGTCGTTGCCGTTGCCCTGATGATGGGGGGGGGGGCGCAAGATCTTGAACGGGGGCAACAAGTACACAAAGTACAACAAGCAATAGGCGCATGCGACCAAGCCCGAGTCCATCTGATCAGACGCGACTTTCACCAGGCTGCGGCAGAGTGGGGAGGCCCATGCACATGATCCCTGCATGGCTGTCTTGGCAACATCTTGCCCTCCACTGCTCATACGCACGCTTCACCATTTCCCCATGCACATCTTCCTCGCATACTTGGCTCCAGAGGCCGAATCGCAGCAGGAGCGCAAGGCCGAATGTCGCTGCAGATTGCTGTAGCTCATACGGGCCAGCGCATCGACGCTGATCCAGTTGCCTTTGGCAGCGTCGAGGCGCTCAAGTACTGGATCTCGACGGCGACGGACATACCGCCGGAGTCGCAGGTCCTCTTAACCGCCCAAGGAAAGCATGTGAAGCTGCAAGCCCTGTTGACAGAGGTGTGTGAAATGTACACGCTTACGACCAGGTGCCATGTAATAACATTCAAATTTGTTCTAGAAGGAGATATTTGTATACAATCGTAATCTCTCCAACAACCCGCAGGCCGCCATACCGCCCACGCCTCTACCAGATGCCTTTGTACCCGACGAACCGCCCAACACCCTCTCCAACAACACCGACCTGCGAGCATGGCAAGCCCTCTTCCAGGCCCGCCGCGACTGGGCCTTTGCCCTACTCGAAAAGTCCCATTCCATGTCGCGCATCGCGGCGAAACACTTTGCTGAGCAGGCGACCATCGAAAAGGCGACACAGGTTGCAGTAGGAAACCACGACTCGCACATCCGATCGCTCGAGCAGAAACACAAAGCAGCCAAGGAGTGGTATGACGGGGTTGAGAAGGAGGCCGGAGACAACCTTCGAAGACTGGATGCCGATTTTGGCCAGCTGGGCTCCATTCCCGCGAAGCTCGAATTTACCCAGTTCTTGGCCAAGGAATTGCGATCTGCTCAGACCGTACAGGGCGCTCGAAAGGCTTCACAAGGTCGGACAGCTTCACTTCAGGAATTTCTTGATGTAGACGCTATCAAAAAGGCCACGGGCACGAGCAAGCGTGTGAGGGAGTCGTTTGGGAAGCGCATAGGCGCCATGAGCACACAGCTCGAGAGAATCGGAGCAGATTACAACGAACTACTCGGCGCAGTAGGGCAGAGCCAAAGTCGGTCCCTGGTCAACGATTCTGAAGAGCCTGGTCGCCTGTACAACGAAATCGATGCAGTCGCCAAAAAGGTTGAATCTGACTTTGAGCACGTCATGGAATTGGAAGCAAGCCCCAAATCAGTCGCTCAAGTGTCCAAGATGGCCCTGCTACACACGCGAAACTTTTTGCCAGCCATGCATGAATACACGGCGGAGATGAGCGATCTCATGCGGAGGGCTGTCGAGGCCAAGAATACGGCTGTCCGAAACTCTGTGGAGAGTATGCGTGGCATCGCAGCCATCGAGTCGGTCATTGCAAGCATGAGTGCAGAACTTGAGCAGATTAGCATACCTCAGGATGGCGTAGCTGCTTTCGAACTCATTTCTTTGGTCGGTCGATTGCCCTACATCTATGGGACTCTGCTGGTCGAAGCCGTCCGCAGACGCGAATGGATGGAACGCGTGGAAAAGGATACCTCGTCACTGGCCGAAGAAATGGCGACGTTCCAAGAAGAGGAAGAGCGCCGACGCAAACGATGGCTCAAGCCAATCGCCGACGTGGTCAATATCGAGGCCGTCTCAAGTGGTTCATTCGGCTTCGAGATGAATGTACAGCCTGAGAAGAATACATGGCCTGCAGTAACGCGAGAAGACCTCCAAGACTATCTACAAATCCTACAGGGCATCGAGGGACAGTCATCTGAGGCGGAGGCGCTCAGTCAAGCCATCAAGGACCTCGATCGTCCTACGAAACAGCAGATCAAGCGAGCAAAGAACTTCAAGATGGGCAGCGTCCACGAGCCTGCGTTTGGTAGAGCCTCGCTGCTCATGGGACGAGGCGACGAGGAATTGCGCCTGCTCAAGGAAGCAAACAGCAAGCTTGAGGATGAGCTCAGAGGACACAGGAGCAGGGTTCGAAAATTGGAAGATCTACTGCACCGCCAGAACCACGTCAGTAGACTGTCGATTGGAGGTGCGCCACACTTGTTTGGCCTCCCCAGCGATCCGCCAACGCCTACCACGGAGATGGCCTCCCCAAAACCATATGACGACATGTCTCGCCGATCCTCGGTGACATCGCGACGGTTCTCTGCGAACCAAGGACAAGAAGACAAGCGCCGGATCGTACGTCTAGAACAAGAACTAGCAGCAGAGAAAGAAGCTCGTGCTCTCCTAGAGAAGGCTGTACAGGCACGGAAAGACGAAGATGTAGAGCAGCAGCGTCGCTTCGAGGAAGCCATGTCTACCAAGAACAACATTATGGAAAACATGAGAGCCCAACAGAAGGAGTTTGCGGATGAGCGTCGCTCATTGGAAAACGAGATCCAGGCCTTGAAGTCTAGAATCGAAGAGGCCGAGGATGAGCTAGATCGCGTTCTTGGAAGTCGCGATCACGAGCGGACTGGGATCGATGCGAAGCTGCAAGAGCTCGTGAAGGAGTTGGGGAAGGCTCGCCAGGACGCGGCAAACCAGAGCCGTGAAGCTGAGGAGCGCATTGCGAAGCTACAAGCTGAGCTTGATGCGCAAGAGGCAACGAAGACGCAGGAACTAGAGACTCTTGCCACGACCTTCAAGCACCTCTCTCCCGACACGAGGGTGCCCGAGAGTCACGCCAAGCTCGTCGCACAGCTCGAAGATTTGGCTTTGCGGTCACTCGAGCATCAGAAAGAGCTCCAGCAAGCCGTGGCAATGGCGAAGTCCGAAAACGAAAACACACACGCGAGACTAGAAGAGCGGGAGCGAGAGCTGAAGTCTGAAGTCGAGAAGCAGGAGAAGGCATGTATCCAGCTCCAGGAGCAACTAGACTCGCAGATTGCAGCGCTTGGCTCAATCACCGCAGAGCTCAAGGATGAGCGTCATCATCTACACGATCTCCGTACCAAGTTTGCCGAAGGCGAGACAGGCGCCGAAGCGCTACGAAAGCGAGTCGAAGAGGAAGAGGAAAAGGTTGGACATCTACGAGCCGAGCTAGCGGAGAAGAGCTCGCATGCGAATAGCCTTGAGGTTGAGCTGAAGCGCGTGGAGAAGAAGCTTCTCGAGTACGAAGAGTTTGACTCATCTCGCGCTCATCAGCGCTTGGCTCGCGCAAAGGAACTGAGTCAACGTCTCTACGCACAGCACGAACGTCTTATTCGCTTGCTGGAAGCCCTTGGGTTTGTCATCACCCATGAAAACGGCGACATGGTGCTGCAGCGAGCATCTAAGCTGAGCAACAGCACGGTCATGACGGACACGAATGGTGGACTCAGTCGGAGTGCGACAACGCCTTCACCTACGCCACTCAAGCGTTTCCTAGAAGACATTGGGGACCTGTCGTTCTTGCAATGGAGTGAATCAGCTACACCAGAAGAGGAAGATCGTCGCTACCAAGACTTCATAGCGAGGCTCAATCTCTTCAACGTTGAGACGTTTAGTGATGCCGTCGCAAAGCGAATGCGCGACATGGAACACACGGCACGAAAGTGGCAGAAGGAGGCTCGCGCATACCGCGACAAGGCGCACCGCTTCCAGGCCGATTCGAACGAGAAGATTGCCTACCGCTCGTTCAAGGAGGGCGACCTTGCGCTCTTCCTGCCCACCCGCAACAATGCCCATCGTCCATGGGCCGCCTTCAACGTAGGCGCGCCTCATTTCTTCCTCCGCGAACAAGACTCGCACCGCTTGCACGGAAAAGAGTGGTTAGTGGCACGCATATCCAAGGTGCAAGAGCGCGTGGTCGACCTATCCAAGACACTGGATGGTGCACCACGGGCTTCCATTGACGGACAATCCATTGCTTCCAGCAACGCTGTGTCGTTTGAGGATGACAACCCCTTTGAGCTATCGGACGGACTGCGATGGTACCTGCTCGACGCGACCGAGGAAAAGCCCATGGCCCCCGGGACACCCGGCATCAAGGGCGCGGTGACAGTCAAGAGCAGTCTCGAAACAACCCAAGGCGAGATGCAAAAACTCAAGAAGAAATCCGCCACCGACCCAGCCACCCAACTGGGCAAATCCCTCGACAGCCGCCGCAGCAGCGGCACCAGCAGCAGAAAAGCTGCCGTCGCCAGCACCCGGCCCCAAGCCGAAACCACACTCCACTCCCCGAGCGACCCCCCAGACTCGAGCCCGCACTCGACGACGGCGACTAGAGGCGGCAGCCCCGCAAACACAAACCCCCACGGTCCCAGCCACCTCCGCCACAGCTCGAGCACCACCCATATCCTGGACAGACAAGCGGAGGATCAAAACGGAGCATCTGTGCGCCAAGACCAGCTCTGGGGTCCTTAGGTTTGCGCTCTTGCTGTAAATCTAGGCCCCTTCCCCCACCCTTTGCTTTTACACATTTCTCCCCTACTTGCTCAATTACTAACTTTTGCCCTTGTCTTCCAGGTCCCCCATTCTCTATCCTCGTCGTCGCCGCCACCACCACCACCGCGACGTAAATCCCACACCCCGACTCCATCCCCCTCGTCCTCGTCCTCGCCCTCCCTGTTGCCGAATGCAACGGCTGCGACACTCGTGGGTCAGCATACGGATGCTTTAGCGCGGCACAGTCGCACGCATAGTCTGGGTGATGGTCAGCTTGTAGGTGGGATGGGGGGTCGGCCGCGGAGGTTGGTGGTGGGTGGGGGTGGGCTTTGGGATTCGTTTTTCCAGTATGATTTTTCGTATCGGAGGGGGAGGAGGTGAGGTTGGAAGGGGGGATTTGTTTTTATTTTTATTTTGGAGGTTGGGTGGGGGGAATGGGGAAAGAGGTGGAAGGGGAGATGGGGGGGTTTTTATGGTATGCTGGAATTCAGGGTGGGGATATATACACATGAGGGGAGTATATGGCTACGAGATTATACTGTATGGGATTATACTACACGGGAATACCATGTGGGATTTTATTCACCTGGGTATATGTATGTGTACATGGCTTTGCTATCTACCTTTGCTGTCCTGGCTTGTTCATTATTATCTTTCTAGGTCTACTCTTTTTCCCAACTTTATACTTTTACATGCGATGCTGTACTGTACTGTCCCATCCTATTCCCTGCCATTCTCTCCTCTCCCATCCTCTCCTCTTCTCCACATACTCTGCAGATCTCATGCCACGCCATGCCATCTCACGTGGTATGATACAGTACCCAATGCAACCAGAGACTGTAGCATCTCCCGTATTATATTATATGGCATGGCATATACATAGCTTAGCGGCCCACGGGGTGATTTGAAGCAGTATTCGAGCTCAAACTTGTACGTTTTTCATCTGGGTTAAGATTTCCCTGACGTGGTGGCTGGATTGGTTTCAGGGCTTACGGTAGGTGGGTACACGATATCGTGGTCTACTACATGCCACGGATGATGGCGGTGTGGCTGATTACGTGCTGACTTGGGTGCACAGGGTGATCATCATGCTGCTTTGCGAGGATGAGAGACTCCGGGGTTGTACTGGGTTTTGGGAAATGGCGGGGAAGTGCAATGGAGGGTTGATGGGGATTGAGTGGTTGTCTGTGGTGTAGGGGGATTGTTGAATGTGGACGTCAGGGTTGCGTGTGTGGATCCCGTCACTCTGAGTTGCGTGTCTGCGTCTGGTTTTCTGTGGCTCGGTGTGGGGATGGGGTTCACGTGCAAACGTAGAAGAGGAGAGTGTTTCCATGCCTTGCTGTTGTCGTTGGTGCCGGTCGAGTAGGTTGTGTAACTCTGGATGCCGGGGTTGGCGTGCCTGTTGCTCTACTCTGACGTGCCTGTTGCTCTACTCTGACGTACGGGTGCCGATGGGGGATTGATAGTAGCACACCACACACACCATTCAATCAATCATTCCTCAATCACATCCCCAACGTCCCCATTGCACGGAACAGAGTGGCTGACGTTTCCCTTTCTTCTCGCCACCCGTACTCGATTGCACCCCAATTGCGCAATTGCCCACCCATCTACTCTACCGGAGAGGCACAATATGCCCTCCTTCTGCAAGGGCGAGAGAACAAAGCATCTGGAGTACTGAGATGTTGTACTGCACACCACCCCACCCCCCCAAACATTCCAACCCAGAATCCGATACTTCGTACCGGTACGGCCATGCATCCACCAGGACGTGGCGCTGCAAACCGAAACACGGACACACAAGCCCAACTCCTCCCACACAGACACAACCGTAAACGCAAAACACCGTGTTCCTGCCCAGGCGGGCCCTCGCAAACGTACCATGGTGGCACAAGCAATAAACTTTCATCTCGGTGTGTAACACTCGTTTCATTAGCAGCCTGCATTCCAGCCCAAAACAAGGGCGACACGAGCGATTAAGCTCTGCTGCGACGGGGCTTGGTTTGCTTGTTGTGACTACCGCCCTCTCCTCGACGGACTCACACACAACCATGGGTAGATGCAGTGATGATCGCTGGGCTGCGCAGGTACGGTGCCCACCTGGCCTTTTGTCCTCTTTCTTCTGTTGAGGGAAGCCTGCGACGAGACAGACGCATGACATGACCAGGCCTTTCTCGGCGCCTGCAGCTTACCCGTTGTCTCAGCGCCGTGTGTGTGTGTGTGTGTGTGCAGTGGACGTGCGCGGAAGGATTGATTGCAAAGGCGAGAGTGGGGGAGGGGAGTGTGTGGATGGGGCGCAGAGAAGGGGAGAGTGGATGGTGTTGTAGAGTGTTGTCATGCGGGGTGGGGCTTTGGGTTTCGAGGAGAGTTGTGGGATGGTGGGATTTCATGGTCATGGTGTTTGATTGTCTTGTACGCACTTGTACTGTACTACCAATGTAGAGCCCAAGGCGACGACGGCAGTGTTCGTCTCGTCGTCGTTGCGCAATGTGCGTGCGTGGTCTGTCGGACGGGATAGATGTGTAATCCATAGCCAGGCTGGACAGGGGGGGCCTTTCCTTTCCACCCCCGAATCGCAGCCCAACGCAACGCCAACGCCAGCCCAAGAAGCGACAAAGACAAGACCGAAACGAGGGCAGAAAAACAGCCCACTTGAGAAAACAATTGTCCGTGTGCCATACCGATCCTGCATAGTACTGCATGTACCATATTCCCCCCCCCCCCAAAAAAAGACCAGACCGAAAGAAAGGGCGGTGGGCAGGGATCGCAACAAGGCCCTTTCCTTCCCTTGCTTTTCCGATTTCGCACCTGTTGGCCGAAATACTCCCATGCCCGTTTCTTCCCCTCCCTGGCGGTTTGCCATGGGGATGGGGTCTGGGATGGAAGAGGAAACAAAGAGAAGAACGCCCGATGTGTGACTAAACGCGCCGAAACAGGGCAAACGCGGTTTTCCTTCAAAAAGCCCAAGTCGTCATCGTGAACAGTGGAGTGACACAGGGTCGCGCGCACTCGTGCGTGCGCCAAAAAAAAAAGAATTACATGTCCTTTTCTTGCTGTAGCTAGAATAAAGTGGGTATCTGAAGCTGGGCGGAGAAGAGAAGAAGCAAGCTGCAAAAGAGCGCTGGATCGCGCTGGAGGACAGACGAAGAGGAAACGGATGGAAGAAGTGGAGTTTTGGGAGTCGTGTTGTGTGGAGTGTCGAGAGGGTGGTGGACGAGAGCAACGACGACGGGGATGTCGGATGGGACTGTTGTGTCGCGTGGTGGTGGCCAGACGACAGCGTTCAGACAACGGGCCGAGGGTGGAGACCAAAGTGGGCCAAACGACGTGATGGTTCAGTCCTGGTCTAGACTTGCAGCCGATAGTCAGAATACCAAGGCTGTCCAAGGTTTTGTCGTCTGTACCAGCGGAGTGGAGAGTGGGCTGTGCATCTGGCCATGGTGACGTGGCCAAGAAAGCATGAAAGGAAAAAAAAAAAAAGAGGGTTGTGACTTGTGACTCAGGCGTTCACACAGGCCATGGCGCGTTCATCTGAAGATGCCGGAAATACGCTTGGTCCGGCGGCGGACGCGCGAGAGCATGTTGACTTTGTAGGGCTCGGCGGCCATGGAGTTGCGGCGGACGCTGGAGTTGTCGTTGCTGCTGCTCGAGTGGTCGCTCGGGCTGCTGGTCACGTTGCTGTCGATGTCGTCTTCGCGGACGGCAGGGTAGGGCTGGTCGTTGGAGGGGAAGAAGTAAGCGTCCAGCCGCGAGTTCATCGCCCGATTCTTCTCCGATGCTGCTGTGACCAGACTGCTCTTGCTGCCCACACTCGTCGCACTGTCGGTCCGCGAGATGTTGTCGAGACGGATGTCCCGGCGAGCGGTGTTGAGCGAGACCGAGTGTGCGCGAGCGAGGCCTGACAGCGAGCCGACAGGTGGTGCTGGCCCGTCTCCAATCAACTTGTACTCGAATTCAGAGACGTGACCCTGGCAGTAGGGGCAAAACTCGCACTTGACCTCCCATCCTGAGATGCCCAGTTTCTTGCCACAGGTCGACAGGTTGCTGGATGGACTGCAGGGCCGGACGAGGTGGTACCAGCGGTGCTGGCATGCGAGAACCGTTACGCAGAGTTCGGCGACGCACATTGTCGCGCCTTCTTCCTGGAGCTGATGGGAGATGGATTTCGTTTGCGCGGTGTGGTGCCCGCGAGGAGAGAGTGGGCAGCCGGCGGCGTCGTGGTGAAGATGGGTGGCTTGGTACGGTCACGAGACAAAGGGAGTGGTGGCAATCCGGGGTAGACGCTAGGGCACTGTGGAAGTGCACGACGGTAGTCCTAGGCTGCCGATGCGGCAGATGGGAGCAGATGGAGGTAGATTGAGGTGCAGTTTGTCTGCACAGTGCAAACAAGGGGATGGTCCACGTGTTCTATAGTGCGTCGATGCGAACGGATGTTTGGTGGATAGGCTGTGGTGTTGTACTTGTGTGGTGCGATGGACTGCGACGGCTGATGGGCTGATCGTCTGGAGCGAGGGCACCCAAGGCAGCAATGGGTCGACGGGTACCTAAGTAAGAAAGCTGAGAGTGGACAGGGGCGGTGGGGGCGAGGAAATGAGATGCGAGGTGATGATGAGATCAGCCTTATCTACCAGATGGGTAGAGTAGCTGGGAGTCTCAAGTGTATGTATAGAATGCTTTGACGACAGGGGGAGGGGGGCCACAGGAGGGCTCCCAGTCCTTGATAACCAACCACCACGACGGCCTAGGGTTCTGGACATGGGCCGCAAGAGACAAGAGACTTGTGGCTACTAGTCAAGTGGAGTATTGCCCGTCGCGGCGACGGATGAACAAGCGGAATTGGAAGCTAACGGCCGCACCAAAAGGTTTGGTCTCTACGCCCTTGAGCAGATCCCGGTTCCATTGTGCTGGTATCCTGTCTGATGCCAGCGGACAAACTCTCTCTTCCCACCGTTGCTACCTCACCGCTCTTGCCATCCAAGGAGACACACACTCTCGCCGCCGATAACAGAGAACGTCGGAGACTGGCGCGTGGTGAAGGCTACTGGCTATCAGGCGACGAGCTGGGAATTGGTCTGTACCCTTTTACGAAGCCACCGTCCCCCTGTGTGACAATCAAATATCAGCCCTGACCGCGCCGCCCTGGCAATTCTGAGAGGACCCGCGTCATGGGCATGTATGTGTGTGTGTGTGTGTGTGTGTGGCCGCTGGTTCTGGCAAAAGGGATGTCCGATGCGTGATGCCGTCAGGCGAATGACGCCGAGAAGGATGTATGTATGCAGAATGCCCCAAGACTGTCTGAGGCATCACCCCAGTATCGGGCAATGGACTGCTAGACACTCCCTCTAATGCGTCCACATGGCAAAGACCATAGCAAGCACATGTACTTTGGAACACTACCAAAGACACCCCCAAAGGCATCCCGCGACACTTTGCAAACTTGGTTCCACGGCTGCCTCACGAATGCCAACTAGTGCCGTGTACTGAGTAACCAGGTTCAGCCAACAACGGTGCACCTGGCGGCCTTTGGTAGCGAGCGGAATGGGGAGGGAAATCCCAGGTCGAGAAGAAGGCTGTGGATGGACTTTTTGCTGATCACCCACCCCAGCCAAAACTACCGTGTCTCGACTCCTCATTCCCCCTCCCTCGCCCTCCAGTATGTCTGGCTGCATGTACCTACGCCTACCTATCCAGCCTTGTTGGCCTGGAGCCTTCCGGATGAAGTCATGCCTCGTGGTTCCGCCATCCTTCCCACTCCCGTCGTTAGAGTCCCAATAGACTCCGGTCCGTCCATTGCAAGACCACAATCACAATGCTCGCTCAGTCGATCGCTACTGTGCTTCGCCTCAGTCTGCCTCTCCTTCCCACTCCTACTTCGTACTCTCTCCCCCCTCGTTCGTGCCTCTGGATCTTGGTAATCACGGATAACCTCAAGACTGGCTGAAAAGCACCATGTACCGAAGCACGGCACTTCCCTGGTATAGTACACAGTATGTGCATGGTGTGTGTCCACAGCACGTCAGCGATCGCTGCGATGGCTGCCACATGTGTTTCAGTCGGCGCGCTTGTGACAAGTCCAACTCTGGGGCTACACATGCGGACACCCGGTAGGACAGGCTTTCATCACCACCTACACAACCACGCCCCATGCACATTGCACACACATGGAGTGGTAGACCAGCAGGCCTACCGATAGTGCTCTACAAGTTCCTCCCGCATCCAGCAGGATTCCCGTCACACAGACCGACCATGGGATATTACATCGGCCCCTTTTCAATCGCCATGCTGCCCAAACACTTGCTCGACTTTTCTTGCATCTTTGTTGCCTGACCAACTCCAAATGAGCACTCGCAACGCATTGATATTCCAGTGGCATCACGGAGATCCGAGAACGAATGGGGCCAGGCTGGCTTGCTTTGCGGAACCCATGGAAGCAACAAGCCCCCCCAGTTGACCCACCACATCCCATCCAGCACAGCCTCAACGCCAATCGGCCGTGCAACGCCCACTCATTCGTTCCGTCCACTTCGCTCGTCTCTTGGCCACCTCTGTCTCTCCCCTCTTGGCGAGCTTGGCATATCCTTCATCCTTGCGGACAAACCTGTCAACCCCGCTCCGTTCCTTTAACAATGCCATTCACCTCCTCCACCACCCATCCTTCCCATGCCCGAATAGTCCCCACTCCCGCAAGCGCCGACACCCCGCGTCAGACATACGTACGTACGGGACCAACGCCCACAAGACTCGCAAGAAACCCGCAGCCGGGCCAAGTAGGCCTCCCTCTCCCCTCCTCGCGGATGGCATTTCTTGACTCCCATCACACCATTCCATCTCGAGTACACACGGACACGCTGCCCAGCCCATTTGTGCAACTCTTCCCAGACAACGCCCCAAGCAAAAAAAAAAGCAACTGTGGAAGTCCAAAGGCCAGGATCTTCCCAGATCCGTGGTACCCTAACTATCAGCTTTCCCTCCTTCCCCCATCCTCTCTCTTTTTGTGTGTGTGTGGTTGGTGTGTGTGTGTGTGTGTGTGTGTGTGTCGGCACAGTAGTGGCGTTTCCAAGACCCGCGTGCTAGCGGTCCCAGCAGACAATGTACTGGAGCCAGCGCAGTCATTGCGGCCACGCGACAAAGCCCAGCGTGACTGGCAGGGCCAGGGCCATGTACAAACCCGCACACCTGTGCCATGGCAGCAGAGCAGGTAGCATGCCATGCCTCAAACTCTATTTGCAAAAGAAAAGAAAAGAAAATCTTGCGGTGAGAGAGAGAGAGAGAGAGAGAGAGCGCTTGCACGCAAAAGACCCCCGCTCACCGTTGCGCTGCTGCGAAGACTGGATTTGCCATGTCGATCTGATTCTAAAAAAGGCTGGGACTTTTGTCCTCATCCTCGAGGTAGGTAGGTGTATGTATTCTAGGATGAACACCCATAGCAACGCCCAACCAGATTGGCCAACCAAGCAAAGCAAGCAAGCAAGCAAAGACGGCGACGAGCCCTGCCCCGCTGCAGCCCAGAGGATAAAATCCCTCCTGCACCGGCCCTCACTCTCGCTTACCCACACGCGCAAAAAGGGCGGAGACAGACGAGACGAGACGAGACGAGACGGCAAACGAGTCTAGATCGCTCGCACACGCCTACATCCTCGACACCCTCCTTTGTCTTGCTCGGAAGCGAGCGTGGTGAGCTGACGACGGGGTGATTTGGTTCCATCTCGAGTATCAGGTCAGCCCATTGCCTGCGCCTTCATGTTGCATCGTGTACGACCGTGCAGATGACATCTAGCATGCCATGCCGTGCCGTGCCGCAGTCCTTCGGTGGGCTTTTGTCAGCTGCACGGCGTCTGGGATCGAGGGGGAGATGCGGGTGACATTGGGCCTGTGATGGTGAGATTGAGGGTAGTGTACTCATCAGGAAAGGAGACTGTTGGAGAGGTGCTTTTGGGAGAATGGGTTGTGTGGTTGATGTGGTCAGCATCACTAAGATACCTCACGCCTACTATACGTTGGCAATGTATGCCCAGTACCACCTACCATGCACATGCAGGGAATTTCCTCGGACACCGTGAGCGTATTCGTAATGGTAAATCCAGCCCCATGCCCTCCTCCCATTCTCCAATCCTATCCTGTCAGTCAGAAGCTAAAAGGGAGCGCTGATATCACACCACGAGCATGACTCTCTGTGAAACCGAAATACAAGCCATGGCCATCAACAGGCCTTGACATTGCCCGCCTATCTAATTCAGTAGTCTCAATACCTTGACCAGATCAGCCGTAACACCCATAGCAGTGACATCACCTCCCGCGCCCGCACCCTGGATGATAAGCGGATTGTCACCATATCGCTTGGTGTAGAAAGCAATAATGTTGTCGCTGCCCTTGAGCGCTGCAATGGGATGGCTCTTGTCGAATTTCTCGAGGCCGACCTTGACCGCACCCTTGGGCACATCTACGCTGCCAACGAAGCGGATCACCTTGCCTTCCCTCTCCGCCTCATTCTTAAGCTGCTCCATCTGATCGTCGAATTCAGGGAGTCGTTGGAGGAACTCGTCGCCGGATTTGCACGACTCGAGTTCCTTGGGAATGAGCGACTGAACAGGGAATGAAGTTGGTGATTCGACCTTGAGGCCTGCAAGACGTGCGAGAATCGTGAGTTTTCTCGCAACGTCGAGCCCGTTGAGATCGTCGCGCGCGTCTGGCTCCGTGTATCCCTTTTCCTTTGCGGATGTGACTTCTGCGGAGAACTTGCCGCCGCCACCGTTTGTGGGCTGGAAGGAGTTGAAGAGGAAGCTCATGGTTCCACTGAAGACACCCTCAATCTTCTGGACTTCATCGCCAGTCTCCACCAAATCTTTGAGCGTCGAGATGACTGGCAGCCCAGCACCCACCGATGACTCGTGGTAGACGTAGCCGCCAATGCCATTTCCATTGGCCGCAGCATTGAAGATTTGCTGCCATAGGTCATAGCTGCCTGAGAAGGCCTTCTTGTTGGGTGTGACGATGCTGATGCCCTTTTTCAAGAATGAGGGGTATGCGTCTGCGACCTCCTGGTTGCTTGTGTTGTCGACCAAGACCACCTTGCCTGGCGCCTTGACGAGGTATTCTGCGAGTTCCGAAGGAGGCAATGGAGGAGTGTTGGAGCTCTGCAGTTCAGTCTCCCAGCTGGAGATCGATCGGTAATCTGCATGGTATACGGCTTTTTTGGAGGTGCTGATCCAGATCAAGGAGATGTAGTAGGGTGCGGCTGGCGACTGGGAGAAGCGCTGCTTGAGCCCAGAAAGCTGGGAGAGGAATGCTTTGCCTACGCCACCGGCACCTATCATACAAGTTAGTTGTCTGGGGAGTTTCCTTTTTTTCAATGGACAATATAATATTCACTATACTCACCGATAACGGCAATAAAAACTTGACGAGGGTGAGGCATCTTGTGAGGCCAATTGGCGTGTTGAAAGTCTTAGTTAATGGGATATTTGGAGGGTGATTGGAAATATGCTCTCGTAACTAGGGAAAACTTGTAGTTGCTAGCAACTAGAATGTTGGTGTATTTGCGGAACCGCTGAATCGTGCTTCGACGTGGGGGAAGAATCAACAATTGGTGGGGTGATGTTAGCTGGCCCTGACGCAACCTCTCGGCTGCCGACATCGCCTCAGCCCTACGGCGCGTCCACCTCGCGACTGCGCATCCTCGACTTTCTCTGGCAGAACAGCCACCACGACCATGTCCACCAAGGACGCCCATCTTTACGGCGCAAAAGCAAAAGGTCGCCTAAAGGGAAAAGAGATATCAAGCTCCAGTAGTCTCGCCTTCACTTCGACGCTCTCGAACCTCATAAAAGCATCATCGTCCGACTCCAGCAAACCTGTCGCTGGCCGCTCACGATCGCAAAAGGAAGACATTTTCAAAACACACAATAAGAACGTCAAGAAGCGCGCACTCAAAGATCTAGAGGACTCGGACTCCACACAGAAACATCGTGGGCGCACAGTCGAAGAGAAGGGCGAGGATGAGGCCGTATGGAAGCGCACCAAGCGGCGCATGGAGGAGAAGGCGCGCTTGTACGACGCCCTGAAGCGCGGTGACATTGAAGACGTCGACGACAAATACGGCGTAGACTTTGATGCAAAGTGGGCCGAGGCACAAGAAAAGGGCGAGAAAGCAGAGTCATCGTCTTCTGATTCAGAAGCGTCAGAAGAGGAAGAGCTGGTGGAATACACGGACGAGTTTGGTCGCACACGAAAGGGAACACGTGCAGAGGCTGCTCGCGAAGAACGTCGAAAACGAACCCTTGCCGCTGACGAGCCTGATCGTTTTACCGCACGCCCAGCCATGCCGGCAACCATCATCTACGGCGATACTGTGCAGACCAACGCTTTCAACCCCGACGAGACAATTGCACAGCAAATCGCGGAGCTGGCAGCCAAGCGCGACAAGGAGCTCACACCACCACCGGAACTGCATTTTGACGGTAAAGCAGAGGTGAGACAGCGTGGCATGGGCTTCTTCCACTTCTCCAAGGATGAGGAGGAGCGGCGGGAGCAAATGAGCAGGATTGAAAAGGAGAGGGAGGAGACGGAACGTGCGAGGAAGGAACGGAAAGAGCAGATTGAGAAGAGGAAGGAGATGATCAGGGAGAGGAAGAGGGCTATACAGGAGAAGAGAAGTCAGGGAAAGGCGGAGAAATTCTTGGATGAGTTGGGCGCTGAGCTGTTCCAAGAGGAGGCTAAACCTGAAGGAGACGCAGTTGTTGAAGATGAGAAGGGAAAGTTTTGAACAGTCGCTGTTCTTTGCTCTCCACAAAAAGATGCCACGGGAAGACGTTCTACAACCATGTTATGTGGAAACGTAAAGGCACGCTCGAAAACATATTTGCGCACGACACACAAGACGACGAGCTCAATAAGACAATGCGGTAAATCATGAACTGCATTAGAATTGACATCACAACAAATCATTTCAATCTCATATTAAATCACGGAGCCGCAGACGATATTGGCTAGCAGCCGACAAAAGGACAGGATGCACTCGTTGGCCAATCCTTGTCGCTTTTCACTCCACCTTTTACAAGACCAAAGGGTGTTGGATCATGGAGGAGCTACTGAGACAGACATGAGGGAAGAGGAGTGAGATTGGGAGACGAGAGGCACTTGATGAAGACGCCGAGGTTGACAACGAGAATGAGGGTCATACGAGCAGCACAAATATGAGCGTATAGATGTATCACAGGACTAGAATACCACAAAAACCAATACATGTATTCAATCTCTCTCCACCAGCCATTTATCTCCGTTACCTTTCGAACAAGCATGATATACCACAGTGTCTCAGGCTCTCATACTAGCACCACTTAGCCAATGCCCTTGCGGAATATACATATACTATAACAGGCAACTATCTAAACTGTACGTGGTATGATGCATCTCCGGTTTCGAGTCAGGCGTACTGGTAGTCAAGAGACGGCCATACCTGATTAAGACGAACCTCGGCATGATCATTGATGATGTCGGATCTCGGACCGCGAATACTACTCCGCATTTCTATCCAAGGACAACAACTTAAACAACTCACAAGACTTGCTCGCTTTGTGAACGTGCTAGGTGACGTTTGAGAGCTGTGAGATTCAAGGGCGTTGTCGTCTTGCCGTTCTGTTTTATACGAGCTCAAACTATTACCGGTATACTACTAGATTTCATTGATATCTACGGCAGGAATTCGAGAGAGAATAGCCATGGCGAACCGTGTTGACCAAATTGCTGGCCATCTGAATTACCCACAGGGTATGTTGGCTGGGCAGACGGCTATCATCACTGGGTCTGGACAGGGAATTGGCGCGGAGGCTGCGAAGCTGTTTGCGAGGGAGGGAGCCAAGGTTGTTGTTGCCGATGTCGATGCTAGTACGTTCTCCTCTCCACACTCTCTCCTACACATATGTAGCACATGGACTGTTCCTCACAATACGCGCAGAGAAAGCACAAGCCGTAGCCGACGAGATCAAGGGCTTCGGCGGCAGCGCCATCGCCGTCGTAGGCGACGTCCTCGACGACGCGTACATCAAGACACTCATTGCCAAAGCGGCCGAGTTTGGCGGCGGCAAGATCCACATCATTGTCAACAATGCGGGCTACACATGGGATGGCGTCATTCACAAGATGACGGACAAGCAGTGGCATACGATTGTGGACTTGCACGCCACCGCGCCGTTCAAGATTGTCCGCGAGGCGGCGCCCTACTTTCGGGTCAAGGATGGCGAGCCCAGGAATATCATCAATATCTCGAGTACGTCTGGGGTGAATGGGAATGCGGGACAAATCAATTATGCGCTTGCGAAGGCGGGGGTTACGGGTATGACCAAGACGATTGCTAAGGAGTATGTTTGTACCTTTTCCTTCCTTTTCCTCTCCTTTTAGTGTCAGGATCAACGCACTGATACTGATATCATGTAGATGGGGTCCCCAATTTGGAGTTCGCGCCAACACGGTCGCATTCGGACACATTCAGACCCGGTTGACTGCCGCCAAGGAGGCGGGTGCATTTGTGACGACGGCGGATGGGGAAAAGATAGCACTTGGTATACCACAGAAACAGAAGGCGGCCGCGCCACAGGGACAGGAGTTTGCGGATATCCCGTTGAGGAGGCCAGGCAATGCGTCCGAGGCAGCGAGTGCGGTGTTGGCTGTTGCGAGTCCACTGTTCAGCTATGTGAATGGAGAGACGATCAAGGTCACGGGCGGTAGGGGCATGTAGAGTTATCTTCTGGCTACCGAATGGGTGGCAGTCATTGTCCTACCGAAGCCAATGCACACGTGTTGTGCGACCAAGGATTGTGAATCGTGGCCAGCATGTGATGATGATGATGATGATGATGGTGATGCGCGTAGTTTTGTAGGCAGAGTCCAAGACGTGGGTAGTTTTGGTTGTTCACAAGTCACGGTTGAGTGATGCGGGACCGGTAGGGGCCCGTTAGGGTTAAACTATCA